TATACATATATATTAGCATATCTATTAGTGTGCCCTGCACCCTTCCTTCAAAGCTATAATGGTTTTTGTGACTATTGATTTATTTACTTGTTTACTCTTGGTTTATCACCTCTACTATGCTATAAACTCAAAGGGGACAAAGATCACAGCCTTTTTTGGGGGTGCCTATCACATAGTAGCCATAAATTATATATTTGTTAAATGAATAAATGAGTACAAAAACACAAATGACAGAAAGAAGGAATTTTTGCATTGGAGAGCACTTTGCTCTTCCCCAGGAAGGAGTAAACATAACTCAGAATTGCACAGAATGGTCAGGAATGGTGTTTATAAGGAAGGGTTTATTTTATTTTATTTTTGGAACCGATATAACTATCATTTATTAAACATCTTATATGGGTCAGGCCCTGTACTTTGAAAATGTTTCATTTAAGGTTCATAGCAATCCTTTGGGATGATGATTATTATTATCTTAATTAGGGGTAGAAGCTGAGATTTAGAGCTCAACAACTTGTCCAAAGTCACATTGGTGGGATAAAGAGGGAAGATGTACAAGCACGATTGGGGCACCCCCACTTCTTCTTGCTATTGTCCTCTGCCCTCTTGTCTATGGGCACTCTGATATTCCTAAGATAGGAGCCCCAGAAATCTTGCTCATACAGCTCACAGTCTGAGCAGGGAGCTCTCCCAGGGGAGCTCATACAGCACAACACCCCCCCCAGGCACAGTGCCTGGCACATAGCAGGCGCACAGGAAATGTTTGAGGAGTGAACGAAAGAATAGTGGTGATATTAATGGACTTGAAGAAATGTTTCCATTCGTATACTTATTCATCTTTCATAAACACATGTAGATTATAAGCTCCTTGAGGGCAGATCTCATGGCCCAGGCTTCTCTGTGCCCTTGCTACTTCTCACACAGGGCTCCCCGGTGGGCCAAGGCAGCTGGAATGTCCTGTTAGAGCATGAGTTTGCAAATCAAGCCCTGTGGGCTGAATTCCAACCCACTGCTTGTTTTTATAAATAAAGTTTTATTGAAACATGGCTGCTTTCATGCCACAAAGGCCCTTTATGGAAGAAGTTTGCTGAATCTTGCAGTTGAGATTGCCTTTAAGGAGTCAAATTGCCTTGGACGCTTTGAGATGAGCTTTGCTGACAGTAGGGTGATAGATGGTCTAGGAAAGGAGAAAGAAAGCAGCAAAGAGAATGGAAATTTCCAAAGAGTCATCAGCTGCTTCGTAATTTATTCGTTATTACCCTGTACTTACACACACACATACACACACCTGAAGACAAGGATCTTAGGAGTAGAGTCTGGGCTTGTAGCTTCCTAAGCCTGGCCTGTAGCTTTTCTGTCCCCTTGGGGGAGGTTGTGGATGTGGCCATAATGCCGCCCATCTCTTTGAACCCCCTTAATGACTTGCTCAAGGTCACCTCGATAACAAGTGGCTCAGGAAGAACCTGAATTTAGATCCAGGTTGTGTGATGCTGAGACCCATTCTTAACTAGCACATGGTCCTGATCCCATTAATGAGTCCTGATGGAGTTACAGGCCCCTGACCCCAAGCCAGGCAGCCAGGGGCCCTGGAAATACCATGAACTCCTTAGTGCTTGAACTGTTTCCACTGTATCTCACACATTCTGTCATCAGACAATTTTCAGTCACACACCATGTGTCCTGCAGGTCCAGCTCTGGACACTGGTTATGCAAAGGTGGGGAGGAGCAGTCCTTGTCTGGGGCAGTTCCCCAGGGGCTAGAGCAGAAAGTCAGGGCATAACAGTGATCCTCCATGGAGCAGCTGTCAGGCCAGACATCGCCTTAGGTCACCGGGGCTAGAGGAACCCAGTATTTGTTAGTAATTACCTTCTTTGTCTCCTCTAAAAATTCTGCTTTACCTGGGAGAGAGTGGGCCAAGAGAAAGACAGAGACAGCCCTGGCCGGGTGGCTCAGTTGGTTGAAGCATCACCCCGTGCACCAGAAGGTTGTGGGCTTGATGCCCTGTCAGGGCACATACCTAGGTTGCTGGTTCCATCCCTGGGCGGGGTGCATGTGGGAGGAAACCCATTGAAGTGTCTCTTTTCTCTCCCTCCCTCTTGAAAAAAAAAAAAATACAGAGAGAGGAGAATCTTCATGCCTAGAGCATAAAGGTTCTAGGCATCCATGGTAAGCAGCTTTTATTTAGAGGCGTGAAGGGGAAACATCATGTTACTCTCAATCAAAGTTTGGGGATTGAGTTCTGTCCATGTTCCTTTGAAGGACATTGAGAGCTGAGTAAACTGACTTTGAGCTAAAATTAACCCCTTGCTGTTGCCAGAATAACTAAAGCTTCTGGGCCAGTAGCTGAGAATTTCAGAACTGAGAGGAACTTGAGATTCCCTTGGGTTAGTGCAGAATGGAGCGATGGTGAAGGAAACCACAACAATGTTCAGATAATATCAAGCTGGGTCTCCAAGGGGCTTTTGGATTTGGGCCAGTATGAGCCTGGTGCATGGTCCTCAGGATCTGGGGTGAAATTAACCTAGGAAATAAAGGTTCAGAAAGTCGATTTGGCTAGTCTCCCCAGAAACAATTGTGTTGTAGAAACCAACACCCCAAGAAATCTGTTTGTAAAGCCGGAAAGCCAGTTCACTTATTTCTGATGTGTGTGGAGGACACACACTATCTGGAAAACCAGCTTGGGATTCCAGGAGGCCAACTCGGTGACAGGCCTTGTGAACGCAGGTAGGGAGTACAAGAAGATTGGGACATTCTCTCTCTCTCTGCTTTTGAGAGTATGTTTATTAAAGCTGTGAACAGTGAAACAAGGAAAGGCCTAGGACAGAAGCAACAGGAGAGCACTTAGGCGGGGCTGCTCTGGCTCTCTAGAAACTTATGGGAAAGAAGTGAGTCAAGGCAGGGCTGCTGTCAGCTCACTGGAGAGTCAGAGAAAAGGGGACCTTGGGGACAGGTTCAGGGGGTTTTCTTGGGATGAGCTGTTGCTACCCATTGCTGCCCTGGTTGCAAGTCTCATGGGGTCCCTTAGATTTAGACGATACACCTCTGTGTTTATAGGTTGATGCTCAACAGCTGAGCCATGCTGTGGACCCTTTTGACATCTGGTGAAAGAATATTTGCTATTTCCCTTCCCCTAGTTTTCTCTGCTTATTTTCTGTTTTTATTTAATCTCATTGCGTTGATATTACTTTTGTGAGCTTTTGCATTACTTCCCCTTTTCTTTTTCAGTTAGGGGGTGGTTTTAAATGAGTAAACACAGGTACCCAGCATCATAGAACCTCTCTAGACATAACCCCAAATTGATGGACCTAGGAGGCTTGCCCTGTGGACAAGTGATGATTTCTGGTTTTCTTTTTCTTTTTTTTCTGGAATGTTGGTATAGAGGTATGGAGGGGTCTGAGTAGGCAGTCTTTCAGGAGAATGGAACCCAGCTCAGAATTCCAGCACAGATGTTCAGATGTGCTTCCTTCAGGCACATCCTTGGAGAAGGAAAACCCCTAAACTCAGCTGCTGGTCTTTTTTCTGAGAAGATAATGACAAGGGTTCTAATGAAGATCTGTGATCTCTGCCTCTGCCAGGGGACACTGAAGAGGAGGTGAGGAAGTGCTGTAGGAACAATGTTACAGATAACGGGATGTTTTGTGGGGGTCTGTATGGTGCATTTCTACCCCTGCAGTCCGACAATACTGGGCTTGGATCATCAGAGCTCCCCAGTAGAGTCACAAATGCAACTTAGTCACCAGGAGCATTATAGTTTCAAGCCATAGGAGGAGTTTTGAAGGGCTTGATGTTTCATGGATCTTTTGGATTCTTGACTCCTCATTGGACTGCAATCTACAATCACTACAAACCACAACCAATACTTCCAGCTCGATTCCTACACTTCATAGTTGAGAGGTAGTCTAGCTCAACAATGAAGACACTGGATCAAGATGATCTGGGTTCACTGCCCTGGCTGATGTGGTTCAGTGCTTAGAGCATCAGCCCAAGCACCAAAGGGTCGTGGGTTCGATTTCTGGTCAAGGGCTAGTACTTGGGTTGCAGGTTTAATCCCTGGGCTGGTTAGGGCTCATGCGGGAGGCAACCAATCAATGTGTCTCTCGCATATTGATGTTTCTCTTTCACTCTCTCTCTTCCCCTCCCTCTCTTTCTAAAATCAATGGAAAAAATATCCTCTCGGGTGAGGATTTAAAAAAAACCAAGATTATCTGGGTTCAAACCCAGAGCTAACTAACTCTTACTACTGTGTGACCTTGGAAAGTTTATTCATCTGCCAAATGGGAGAAATAATAGAATTTGTTGTGAAAATGAGGTGATTTAATTATGTAAGCCTCTTAAAAGTTAGGCTTTAGCTGATGTTATATTCTTAGGCCTGTAGTCATGTATGTATTAATCAATTGAATTTGAACTTGAAATAGGAGTTAGTGATGGAGATGGGAGGGCAGAAAAAAGAACTGGAGATGCCTTTCATCACAGTGCCCCTTTACAANAACCAAGATTATCTGGATTCAAACCCAGAGCTAACTAACTCTTACTACTGTGTGACCTTGGAAAGTTTATTCATCTGCCAANCCAAGATTATCTGGGTTCAAACCCAGAGCTAACTAACTCTTACTACTGTGTGACCTTGGAAAGTTTATTCATCTGCCAAATGGGAGAAATAATAGAATTTGTTGTGAAAATGAGGTGATTTAATTATGTAAGCCTCTTAAAAGTTAGGCTTTAGCTGATGTTATATTCTTAGGCCTGTAGTCATGTATGTATTAATCAATTGAATTTGAACTTGAAATAGGAGTTAGTGATGGAGATGGGAGGGCAGAAAAAAGAACTGGAGATGCCTTTCATCACAGTGCCCCTTTACAAAATGCTTCTGAAATTTTGCCAATAAATTGGTCAGTCTGGCCCCATTGGCTACCCATGGTTCATTAATGATGCTTACACACAGATTGAGGATTTTATCATTTTAGCCATTCACATAGCCTTTTAATGGACCCAGAAAGTGAGAGTCAGTATTCAAAGGCCTGGGGGGGTTTATTTTTCTTCATTTCTTTGCAACAAGAGAATACGCTGTAGCAGTATGCCAGCCATTCCCATCCCGGCTTACAGCCGAAGAAACATGTGCCCCGAAGGGAAGTGCAGGCACGAATTTCTACTCCATTATTTCCAAACAGAGCATCACCTGAGGGAATAAAAAAGCACAAAAAAGAAAAATCAATCTTCAAGACGCTGGGTGAAATCCTAGGCCTGTCCTCTCTTCCTGGTGGATGCTTCACTGTTTTGTGATTTACTTTCTGGACCTTGTCCTCTCATTTCCTACCACATTTCAGTGAGGGCTGCCCTGTCTGAGGTTGATCAGAGGAAGAGGAGGGGAAACAGGAATTCGGATAGCTGAACAGTGATATGCACGTGGTGAAATTGCCTCCCTTCTCTCAAGTTCTGGCAGACCTTCAGGATGTAGCAACAGAGGGAAAGGGCAGGGACTGAAGACCACTAACCAGATCCCCAGCCTGAGGGCCCATCTGATATTGGTGCCCCCCTGCTGGGCTTATATCCATAAGGGTTTTGAGTACCACAGTCTCTGAAAGAAACCCACTTTCATGGTCAGACCTGTACCCACCATCTTACCTGAAGGCAATGAAATCACCAGGAGGAAGAGTAACCCAGAGAGACAGAGCCTCATTGTTGAGGAGGGAATAGGGCTGGAACTTCCTGGGGTTGGCTGCCTGGGAGGCTCCTTTATAGAGATGGGCAAGCCTGGGTGGGGCTGGCCTCATTCCACCTGGAAGGGCACCCAAGGGAGACAGGCTTATTCATAGTTAGAGGAAAGAGTCCCTGGGCCATTCCATGCTACTTTCTCTTCTACAAATCTTGGAACAAGGGGCTCTGTCAAGGCAGAACAGGAGCAGAGACCGGGTTTCATCATGCCCTGGCCCAAACACTTCGCTTGTAACTTCAAATGTGTACTGATAGAAAAATGGCAGGGAAAGTGTCAATGTTATCTCTCCTTTCCTTCTGAGTCTCACTGAGAACAGAGGAGCCCAGAGCAGTGATGTTATAAAACACAGATTTCATTTAGGGCCAGAAAAGAACTTGCAGTGTTGCAAGAAACAGAGGGGCTCAAGGTGTCAACTGTTGGCCTGACCAAGAGTTAGGTAGGTGCTCAGACATAGCCAAGAAAGAGTAGCCTTTTCTGTGGGTGACAGGTTTAGTCACCTGGCTGGAGGCACAGGCTAAAGGAACTCATTCCCCAGAAATGGTTTGTATGAAATGGTGGCTAGAATGTGGGAAATTGGAGAGTCCTGGGAAAAGTTGTCTTTTTGGAGTGGTGGGTTGGAACTCTCTCTTGGTCTCTCACAGGAAGAGCCAGTTCAGTGCTGTGTTCAAGGTTGGATGCCCTGTGTCAGGTGTGGAGCAAGGCAGTGCCTCCCTGAAGCTATAAGGAAGCGTCATTAGGTCTGTTCCCACTACAGTGGTGGTGGGGGACCCAGAGCTGAGAAGACACTAACATTGGTTTTGTTCTTGTGCCTGGAGGCAGGCTTGTACTCAAGTGGCCCATGACTAGAATTCAGAGTCTGCACAGTGGCAGTAGAGCATGGTTTTATTGGTTACACTCTGTTTTGCCGTCACATTGCCCTTGGATACATTACTTAGCATCGATGAGCTTCTTCAGCTTCCTCTTTTCAGAGCACGCACTGTAAGGGGGCTTTTAAAGGGTGAAATGGGATAAAGCTTACAAGTTGCATTGAACTTGTCCTCTTTCTCTGTCATCATCCTTAAAGTCCACCACTACCGCTGTGGTGCTTTCTCCTTTACGGACCCTCTCCAAGAGACTTCTTCGTGAATGTCAGACATCGCTGGGAGAGTTTTAGTTTGAGTTCTAACAATGCGTACACAGCTGAGAGCACAGCTGTGGGCTGGAATGGGAGTGGGGGAGAGATGGCAGAGGAGTGAACTAGAAGTAGGTAGGTGGGTGCTAAATCAGGGCTGAGGATTCCCGTGAGCACTGGGCATGTGATTCCAGCCTGTAGAGCCCGGGCTGCACCCTGACCATCTGCTGCCACAGACATAGCACAGGCTCAGAGGTACCACCTTGTTCTTTTAGAGATGGAGAAAATGAGGCTCAAATTGGTGACTGGGCTGCACCAAGGAAAGAAGCTGTGGGCTATGCTGCCGTCAAATCTTCAGTTCTTTGGATTCTTGGTTCGGAACACTGTCCTTTTCCATACATTTTGAATTGTTCAGTCAAGGATTAAGGAACGTGGGAGTTGTGAACTCAACATTTTCCAAATACTTCTGAGCCCCTCTTGCACACAATTCTAAAAAGCAGATATAAAATGCACTTGGAGATCAGTATGTGATCAGGATGGACCCTTACCTTTCCTCCCACACAGGTCCTGATTAAATCACCTTTCCAACCTTTGGGCAGGAACTTCTACAATTGTGCTGAGTGTTCCTGTTTCTTGCCTGAGGTCTTGTTGGGCAAAACTGCCAGAGAAGCATAAATGGCTTTAATCTCTTCCCTTTATTGGTGCTCTGTTGGTGCTTTCTTCCTTTATCTTTGTTTCCTAGAATTCTTGGCCCTCTTTATTATGTCAACTGTGGAGGTTCAGGCTAAGTCACCCCAAGATGTGCCTATGTGGCATGCAGGTTGTTTTGATCTAAAGGCAACTTTAGCCATGGGCTCAAGAGAAACTTCTGCTCCCCACCCCTTAACTACCTAGAAGAAAAACTTGAACCAGGGGCCTTGCCCAAAGCAAGAGATTATCAGAGATAACCTCTTTTCACCTATCTGTAGGACAAGGCAAACCAAACATTGTTCTTAACATTTTGCAATGACTTTTTAAAAAAAATATTTTCATTGATTTTAGAAAGAGAGGATGGGAGAGAGAGAAACATCGATCTGAGAAATATTGATCGGCTGCCTCCTGCATGCTCCCTACTGGGGATTGAGCTGGCAACCTGGGAATGTACCCTGACTGGGAATCGAACTGGAGACCTTTTGGTTCACGGGAATGACACTCAACCAACTGAGCCACACAGGCCAGGATGCAATGACCTTTTGAAGACCCCTGGTGCATTACCTCATCCCTAGCTCAGATGTCATATATCTCCATCCTTCTTTCTTTCTTTCTTTCTTTCTTTCTTTCTTTCTTTCTTTCTTTCTTTCTTTCTTTCTTTCTTTCTT